ATATATATATATATATATATACACGCGGGAGTCCCGGTATCATCTATCAGTAATCCCGCTATATTTCTGTTCACTATCATAAAAGATATTGGATCTTAGATCCAAAACTTAATATTTGATAATTCCGAGTTTTGTGTTTTGTATTCGCTTTTGATAATCTGATGTCGGGATGCTACAGTTGCTAACAAAAGTTGGAATTCAACCGGTCGTGGACGTTCTTCAAAGCCTTTGCCCCGTGCGGGGGCTGCTAAGCAAATAGTTGTTTGTGTGCGAATTCCTGGATAGATTGTATATTTCCCAGTGTTGCTGGGTCATTCCACTCTGGGGACTCGTAACCCGGACAATGATGTTGTCTGAGACCTCGGATACGAAATTCTGGGTTGTTGACACTGTTGGACGAACGACGACGCTGAGACGATACGGTCTCCCCTTGGGACCCGTTAGACTGCTCGAGTGTAATACGCTTCAGATGTTCTTCACACTTGTCGAACAGTGATTGCTGTTTGGCTATGAGCTCGGCCAGCTGTTGTTGTGAATCCGGGTCACGCCCTTCTTCTCGTCTATAATGACGATGTCGTTGTCATTTGCGCTTCACTGGTGGTAGGCGTGGGTTGTTGTCACTTGTCATGCTATCCCCCCCTGCTAGATGATTGTCGGCAGTTGACATGCTGGAACGCTCTGAAGACGCACTGGGAGGCAACCCGGCACTCGCTACATATTCACTAGTGTTGGACTGCCCCTGGTCCGCACGCAGGTCAGAAATTACTGCCGTATCTGATTCACGAGCTTCTTCCTGCTGCTGAGTAGGTGTCACGTGAGGTTGTTGTCCTTGTTCGCGCTTTAGGAATGTCCGGCGTAGGATTGTCTGGTTTGCCCGATTGTGTACGTTCTGGGTTTCTGTTGTCTGGGATTGGTGAGAGCCTGCTTTAGAATGTTAACGTTTCGTACCACGTTGATCGATATCATCGTGCACGCGACGATCACGTGCGAGGTGCTGCCGGCGACGGCTTAGTCGAGGATTGGTTATGGTTGTGGAATCGCTTGCCTAAAGGAACCGAATATCCGTTGTGAATCCGTAACGTTCGTATTAGTCGACTGAAATACAAAGTATAGGGACCCACGATACCGTTTCAAATACCCAACACTTAAGATACTCTAGGAATCCCCCAGGATATTCGATGCTATCAACATCGTCATCCAATCTTCGGCCGGCCTCAAGTCATGTCTAATCTCATGTCCCATGACTCCCCGTCAGACTCAATGTTAGAACATATACTCTGCACGCATAGCACTCCTCCCATCTGCTCTTGGCGAGTTACTTACTACTTTATCTACTTCTGTCATCGACATTCTGCTCCATCAATCGCTCGACGTATTCGCCCGATGCTTTTTCCACGTTTTACAGTTGTTGATCTAACTCCAACTTCCCTGTGGTGGTCCTATGGCGAGTGAATACGGTTTCTGACCTGTTTTGGTCTATGGCTTCCAGTGTGCTAGATCAAGCGAATCCTCGTTAAGAACTGTCTAAAACTTTGTAAGTGTACAGTAATATACATGAACCGTACAGTTCTCTAGCCGTTTGTTGACGAATCGTGCATGACGTGCTATATAAGTAAAGCTGAGGTACTCGGTTTTCGTTTCACACATACATAAATCATAATAATGAGTCTACACCAACGCAATCAAACCCTCATTCATGGTACGCGTAATTATTGGTACGCGTAATTATTAGTACGCGTATGACATTTCGGTTCACACAAATAAAAATCATAACAATAGTTCTACACCAGCACACTCAAACCCTCATTCTTGGTACGTGTATGACATTTATCAATTACTTATCTTCTCCATCCGGGATTTTCTCTGACTTCTCCTGCCTGGACTCATTATAATATCTGGGATAATTCGTAGTTTTCACGATGTGCGACCTGGCTGCCGTTCTTCCTCCGACTCATCATCTTCCGCATGAATGTAATCTATAAATGTCAATTGTCTACGTTTTCTTTCCTTTAACATGCTGGCGGAAGAAATCTTCGACTTTCGTTGTTGATGGGCTCCCCTTCGATTTGTGCGTTGCTATATACTTCATATTTTTAAGCTAGTCTGAATCACTACTACTAAATGCCAACAATGGTGGCATCTAAAATGGCGCTTGCCGCGCATATGTTCAGACTCACCTCGCATCAGCCGTCGCGTAGAGCTTGTATTTAAATACTTTGGTGGCCAGAAAGGCGTCAAGGCTGAGGAGGTGTTCTTCAATGCAAGGGTGAAGCAACAAGCAAAGCACATTTTGCAAACCATTAGACAAGGGTACTACTCTGATCCACCTGGAAAACGGATGTACCATGTTGTTGATGAGGACAAAGATGGTTTGGATCTGTACGGGTACAGACGTGGTACGAGTGATGTGAAAAGGGCTTGGCACCAAGAGTTTAGTCGTTGCTTTGGATGTTATGTATTGAGTGGTAAGCTGGGTGGCATAATCTTGTCAAGTTTTGTAACGTTGCAAAATTATAGGATTGGTGTGGAGAAGCGAGGTGTTGCTGATTACAAGCATCGCAATGTGCATTGGAAGATACAATTGCATAAGCTTACAGCAAATTGGCAGGATAGGTATATTAAATAGATAATGTGCCTTGAGAGTCTGCAATACTGGTCAGTCAACAGAATATTTAATATGCGGCAAATGATAGACCAGACACAACTTCAAGCAAGTTAATATATCTATGAAATTAGAATCACACTTTGAAGCAGCTAGGACATCACGGGAACGTCGCACGTACTCGTGCCAAATTCCAGAAAAATTAGCTGCACAGCTGAATGATAGATCTGAACTCAGAGAAGTGTCCGACCAAGAAGAGGAGGATGCTTACGAATACACAATTACCGATTGCATACGCTTTTGGTGAAGTACATGCAGTAGAAGATTGCAACGGTAAATTTAAGAGACTTGGTTGTGCAACATATAAAGCGCAACAATTGGTCGAAGAAGAAATAGTAGTAGAAGAAGTTGATGATGTAGGTGGGTAAACTACCAATAGACTGAAGCTCTTATTCTTTAATACACATTTGTGTATTCTTAATTAGATATCTTTATTATTATTACAGTCGAATGGATAGTTTAGCTATTGTGTATGGTACAAGGAAAGGTACCTCATCACATTCGCTATAATCAGCCCTGACTTGTTCTTTTTTTAAACACATACCAGGTATAAATAGCTTAGTAACACATACAAATCTATGGGTATTGATTATATTACAAAATCACCCAGAGTTCACATGTTTCCATCCCACTGAATCTTCTTCATTGGTGGTTGTCATAGTGCCCTCAGCTGCCCTCGAGTTTGCAAAAAAAACACAACATTCCCTTTCCTCTCCTCTATTGTTACGTCGCTAAATTTCGGAATAGATACTCGCTGATATTATATAAAACCCTAAAACCCTAAATGTTAAGCGCACAGTAAAATTCTGGCTTGGGCGACAGGGGATCTCTCCACTTGGCACCGAGAGGGTTTGTTGACACCTTGTTTGAGATCTAAACCAAAATTATTTTCAACCATCAGCTGCAAACTCACGTTGCCCCTAGATATCGCTCTTTCCTCCTTCATTTTTTGTGCCAAATCTTCGAATCTTTTCATGCCAGTTTCGAAGTTTACTAGCATATGTTTGATATCAGAATGTACACGCGAGTCTGTCCAAATCAGTTCGTTGCTACTCATGAAGTTGAGTGTCTCTTGAGGGAGACGATAGCCCAAACTACACATGTGAAATATATAGCACAGTTGTGCTCCACGGCCAATTTGGATGACGTCCGCTTCTCTAATTTTCTGATAATATTGATGGACAACTAGACACTTCGTGTCAAGCGCAAAGACACCTCTCATTGGACTTCTAAACAATGGGGTCACACACGTACGCATTTCAAAGCATTTGAGTGTATTCCTTAGCCTGTTGTTCAGGCGTGGCTACAGGCACTCTCACAACATCAGGAAACGTTTCAATCGGTAGTCCTTCACCTCCGTTATCATCTGGTTCGCTTGGAGAACTTAAGTTCTTCTGAAGACTCGGAAAGTTCTCTGTGTATACGGTCTTATCGCTTATACTATCACTGTTGTATACAAATTCGATCTCTACACCATGTAGTTTATGCCGCCGCCGTATCTTTTGTAGTACCGGTGCTATTTCACGATGATTCTTTGAGACTACAAACTTGTATGATAAGACTTGCTCCCTGTCTTTGATAATCATGTGTACCCCCATAAAGTATGATGTTTTAAGGTGATCACGTACTAGTTTGGTGAATTTATGAGAGTGATCTAACATATAGGACAGTTCCTGTTATCTGTTGATTACTCAAATCATTGTACAATTTTCGTTGCATGAATATGTGAATGTATGACCAGCATAGCCTGTGGGGTCATCGATTAAAAACCCAAAACCCCTATCAAACAAAACCCGGAGAAGCTCCTTGCCAATTCCGGAAAATCTAGCACAGACTCAGCCTTTCTTGTAGCCATCAACCGTGTCATCCATTGAAGCTTGCGCTCAGAGTATCGACGATAATGTCACAACTGCGCTGATACGATCCGTCATTTCCCTTTTTCGAGACCCATCACCAAATTCATTGTGTAACTCGTTCAGCAAGTCGATATCGATTCCGGAACGATGCATCAACAAGCAAGGCAATTCGAGCTGTATATACTCGTGCAGCGTTCCGACTAACTTTGGATTATGCGCTAAAAATGTTCGCTTACAGGTTTTGTTGGTGCAGATGTATCGCTTCGACATCAGAAACCAGCATCGGTTTCTAGCGATGATACGCCGAGCTACTGGACTTGTAGGGTAACCGTGGTGTATGACCTTTGCACTATCGCATGCTGGACAGTGCAGTTTGACATCAGGGTGACACAACGATCTAGGGTCGGAGTAATGTACGCCCACATAATAGAAATTCTCGACGAGACGCGCCATAGGCCTTGGATCACTTTTCGATTTGCGCACGTTGTCGTTCTCAGTTGTAGGAGGTTTCACCGGTTTGAAGTTTATCTTCGTAGGAGTACTATCGACTTATTGATGCTTTCCTTTGCCCGTATTATTAGCTTCGCCTGAGCCTGCTTGACGACGACTGCCATCGTTGTTGAAGCCTTTTCGCTTGCCGCCCGCCGTGTACACAGACCCACTCAGATTACACCCGTTCCACACGCTTACGGACGCGAATATAAAAACACACGTTTTGGACAAGACCCTCTTGAAGGCCCTCGTGAATAGGTCCTCCGGGCCTCTTTCTTTCCTTTTTTCTTCTTCATTGTTTTTTATATATATAAAATATGAAAAAGTGCCGTGCAAGCACTTTTCAAAATCCGAATAAATATTCCCATTGCCCTCTAATTATACAAGTTCCTGCCGCCAAAAATATTTGTAGCAGTCCTCTCAGCTTCTCCATGCCCTAATAATTGAAGCACCTTGTAAAAAAAAGGGGGGCCCATCAATCCGTTGTTCATTGAGCGAAATTCCCCAACTGTATTTTCCAGTTTGTTCATTGGTCAACATTCTGAAAATTCAAAATGTAAGGAGAAAAAAAATCAAATATTGTTTATGCCAATCAGAACTTGCAAATCGATTCTATAATCTATTTTTGTACATAAATATTATATACCCAGTGGTGACTCAGTGGTGAGCTGGGTGCCTACTGCCTGGGTCTGACCAAAATTTTGGAACGTTTTCAAAATTTCCTTTGCACTGGATCAGAATGGCAGTGGACAATTGGACATCCTTAAACTAAACCCTAAACCCTAGTTGGAGTCGAGAATATGTGGTATTTTAGTGCTATTTATGTACTCGTCCAGAGTTCCAAATACAATTCGTATTATTTTAAATTGGTATATATAAAATGGTAC